TCGTTACCAGCCTAAAACACCAAGTCAGTAATAATAGTGTGATATCAGTACATTTCGAGTCAATGTTGCTAATACACATTGCTTTTGCTGCATCGAAGCTCGAGCCCCATGAAGATTTAGATGCGATAAGGTATGGCGCTAAAAGCACAACAGCACGAACTATTGCCTCTTTCGTGAGCAATATTAACTAGTAATATAATTGTTGAATAAAACGAACAGTTATTTAAAAATCTGTTAAAATATTGGTTCATATTAATTTTGTTAATTATTCAGGATTCAGGTACCGTTTGTTAACAAACAATACCCTTTCTGAATGACAAGTATTGATGTACTTTTTTATACGTACTATGGAGTGCAGAGGCAGGGAGAACCGTCTCATATGGGGGAAAGTTGAAAAAGTGTCCAGCTGTATGCTGAAAATAGAGGTCGCTGGCGTATGAATAACTACGATATGAACTTAAATGTTATAGACGTAGTGAAATGTGCTGAGTTAAAATATATTTAATAATTATTACACGTTTATTTATTATCTGTAAAACTCATTGGCCATTTTCGCAGTCTAGTTGAGTGTCTAATTATTATTAAAATTTAAGCCAGTATAAATTTATCCTAGGCTACCACAGCGCTAAAACTAGATTGACTGAAAGAATACTTATATACTTTTTTTTTGTAAATACACACATAATATTATACATAGAAACACCCAAAGTCCGAAACAAATATTTGCAGATCATAAAAACATTTGGTCTGACCGGGGAATTGAACCCGATACCTCAGTACAGCAGTCGCATACCCTACCACTGCACCACCGAGGCAGTTATCATAGTTAAAACATAATTAAATGCACCTGTGCCTTTGTATATCAATTGCTTACCTGCACTAAAAATGCAAACCGGTGTGAGAATAATGATTTAACTTCCCTTTTAACAATGTATTTATAATCTTGCTTGTATACATGCGGTAAATTGAAAGTATAAACCACTGAGATTTGACTTGTCCGATTTAATTGTATTCTTTAGTTCTCAATTGGTAAAAGTAAATTGACAATTTTAATTAAAAGATATTAAAAAATAATATGAATATGCATCGTATTCTTATTTATATACATATATATATTTACTAGCTGACGCAGCGAACTTCGCACCATCTATTGGTATTGGTTGTGGGCTCCGATTTATTCCTAGTGCGGGAGTTGTCTTTTTAAAAATAGAAAAAAATAAGGAAAAGATGCGCAGAAGCCTCCTGGAACGTTCACGGGCTTCTAAGAGCGATTTTGTACCAGGTATGGTACTAGCCCGTTGTGTGGCCCTCCCGTTCCAGGGTTACGTGGGCAGCCGTTTCTTCTGTTTTCGGACATCCTCTGCAAAGAGGACTGCCCGTTGTATAAAATGGTGAATAGTTGTTGGTTCAGGGCTACGTGTCCTGTTATGGTTCCTACAAATATTCGGATATCTAGTCTGCTAAGACTGATCAGTCTGCAAGTAAGTCGTGATGAGACTTCAGTCAGCACCAGTTTGGACTGTCTGCAGTCGGGTGAGTTTTTACACCTTCGGTTGTGCGCTTCACGAGTACGCTGTCTAGTCCAGGATCGAAGTTTGTTAAAAGACAGTGGCAGGAGTGTGGTTGGGCCGGTGACCGAGATTGCCGAGCCCCTCCTTGGCAGCTCATCTGCAGCGTCATTCCCGTATGAACTACTGTGCCTTTAATCCATTGGAGGAGAACCCCATTTGTTGTGCCAAGCTGTTGCAATGCCTAATGGCATTCGAAGACAATACCAGAGGTCATTGTGTTGCCCTCCAGTGCCTTTTCCATTTCAGCCTTTCATCATTAAAGCACCTTGCAATATACGACATATTTATTCCATTCTACGTTACGAGTAACACCGAGTTTAACCCTAAACTGGGGTCCGGCGTACGACACACGGAATAACTGGGACTTTCAATGCTAGTAAAATTTGAAAAAATATTGAACCTAAGTTTATTCATCTTGAAAAACTTTGTAATACTTACATTTGAGAGCATTGAAAAGACGTGGTTTTTGCTCGAAAGCATCTATTTCAGCCATATGTTTAAAATTTGCAAAGAGAATTTAAAATAACATTAATTCAATAACCTTTACAAATCTGAACAATATTGGCATGGCTAGTATTCATAAAACTAATATATCAGTATAGTCAAAAGAAAATAAAACCTTCGATGTGAAAATCACTAATATTTCATATAAAAACATAGCATCCATAACAAAACTCAGTGATCCTGCAAAAATGGGGTGTAAAGTGAAAAAGAAGAACGGATATTATTTGATCGTACGATATATCACGTGAATGGAACCAAAGGGGGGATGGGGGTGGAAAACAAACTCAGTTCCAATATCCAATGAAAAATCAATCCATCAAATCCAATAAAAAAAATCTAGAGCAAGTTCATATTACGTTATAGATAGCTGGCGGGGGACGATTTGTGGCTTGCGATAGTTCCACTGACAATACGCATAAACTTTTATTTGATATTTCAGCCTTTAACGCTATGAGGTTTAATGTTTTCAGTTTTGTTTAATCTTAATTACGTCGGTAAACAAATAACAATAACATTTTATTGATGTGGAAATTAAGTGCTTCAAACTTGGTCTCGTCATTAGCTAAGTTTTCAATTAACGCTGCTTCGCGAGATTCTAAACATGAAATATCAAAATGAAAGCAATAATTATTGCGATCATAATTTAATGTTCGCGGCTATAAAAGTGGTAGGAAGAAAACGAATAACCGTCTTGTAACACAGAGGCTTAACGCTCGATACTAAAATGAGATATATAATAAGATAAGATGAAATTGTTTTGCCAGGTCAGTTTGCGCACGCGTGCTCTCGGCTTGATTTTGCGATGAACAAATCACTACAAAATCAAACGCTGCAGGCAACATTCAAACTACAAGCTGGCCTTTTGGTCTAATAGTTAGTGACCCTGACTTCTAAGCCAGAGGTCGGGTTCGATTCCCACCCAGGACAAATAATTGTGTGATGAGCACGGTCATTGTATAAACTTCCTTAGGATCCAACAAAATTCAAAGCAAATTTATTGCCGAATAAGTCCAATCAAAATAAATCATCTATAAGTTTTTCAGTAATTTGCTCTTTGCATTTTAGTTTTAAGTAATTAAATAGTTAGTGCAAAAACTAACCTTGAAATTACTCTAATTTTACTTAATATTTTATTAGTTTTCTAAATCAATTTATCAATCTATTGTATTCTGCTGCTTGACGTAGGACCTGCAAAAAGTGAACCTCTGGTAACGATACTACTATTAAGCTTATATCTATAATTTCGTATCTTATGGTTACACCTGATACACTGGAATGGTCGTTGTCATATCTCCATGGGCGCCAACAGTCTGTCCACGTCGATGAAGCCTCTTTAAGTTGGCGTGAACTTGACTGTGTCACCTTTTAAGGTGAAACTCTCTCTCCTCTATTATTCACAATATTTTTCAATCTCATCACTCCGAATCTTCAATGTGCGTACCATCTTTATGCCGATGACTTGCAGGTCTATTATCGAGCGTCAACAGATTACTGGAAGGCTAGACGAAGATAAACTGCAGTACATTACTTTTAAAGGCGTAGTAATTCACTTCAATCCTTCTGTTAAGAACCTAAGCCTATTTATCGACTCCAAGCTCAGCTGGCAAACCTAAGCCACCAGTACAGACATTTATTGTTTGCTATTATTAGGCGGCCAGGTTGAGTGACGATTTGCGCGAGATGGCTCTGGCTGGCTTCGATCTAAGTGGCGTGCAATGGTCTCCTATGTCCAGCAGTGGACTGCGATAGGATGATGATGATGATGAGGCTGTTATTACCTGAATGCAGATCTCCTCAATAAAAATATGACAACCTTCTGACCCACTCTCTATTCCATTCTCAAATCACCTGTTTCCCCTTCCTACCTAACATCCTGATTCCAATTTTCCAATCACAATAGAACCCTACATTCTTCATAAAATCCAGTTTTATATATAATTTATGTATATAATATATGTTTAAAACTCAGCAAGTAAATAGGTCACATACCTATTTCTGTATGTATAATCTGTCCCACTGTTTCTGCCCATCTTCTCAATTATTATTATGTCCGAGCTATGTGCACCTAGTCCGACATTTCACCACCACACAAAGGTAGACTGGAATAAAACCACCTGGGAGAAAGTACAATTGTAATCTGTGAATAAGGAACTAAATAATAATTACAGTAGATAATTAATGGGCCTATTGGTCATGTGCCTTACCACTACGCGTTAGGACAACCAGGACAAAAAATTGCGCTATGAGCTCAATAGTTCTGTATGTACCCGGGCGTAATTTATTTAATTATAATGTTGATGTGTTTTTTAATAAAAAGTAAATTTGTGGTATCAGCATTCTGGTTACTATGGTTTATATTTTTTTATGACAAAAAATAGTTATATAGCAATCAATTTTAATAGTAATAAAGCAATATACATATATGTAGCTATAAGAGTTAAAAAAGTTCCTTTCTTCTACTTTATAAATATTAATTGTGAAAGGTCACTGAGTCAATAATTATTAAGTACTTATATCTATGCTATTTGGTGTACCAACATAAAAATACACAGATTTAAACCTCCAGAAATAGAACAAAAAGCGCATCTAAATTCGTGTAATAGTTTTTGTGTGATGTGGAGCAAAAAACATTCTGAAACAAAATACATTACATTACCGATTGACAATACTTAATCTTGTGACAAATGAGGTTAAAATTAAAATTATAAGCGATCAATGCAAAGATTGTTTTCACCTTCACTGTTGCTGAAAATATTAAACGCTTTACCTTCTGTCATTCATGAAATGAAATGTCACTCTGATGTTAGGTATCGTTTCGTATGTTTTCTCAGCTGTTGTTAATTTTGTAATTTCCACTCATTATTAACTAGAAACGCAAAGTAAATAAATTTAATTGTCTGATATACATATTTTATATTGAAACTAATGAGTATCGCTTTGCGCTCGGGTACGTTAAAAACTTATTTTAATTTTAATTTGATTTTCAAGAACTGAAAATTGAGAATTATTCTTTCAGGTATCTCCAATATCTGTAGAAATATGTGTTCGATGAGTGGTGTAGTAGAAAATACAATTAGAAGTAAATTAGTTTCAACATTAGAAGCCAAACATTTAGATGTGATTAACGAATCGTACATGCATAATGTTCCCAAGGGTGCTGAAACACACTTCAAAGTTGTTGTAGTGTCTGACAAATTTGATGGACTAACACTTATTAAGGTGAGATGAAGATTGCATCGTAGTATATCCTAATTACTAATACTATGTAATAAAGCACCTTTACCTAAATATAAGGTCTGCTTTTTAACACACACACACATCCCCTCTCTTAAAACCACCTTTGTTAACCAGTACCTAGGTCATCCCATTATCATTACATGTTACAAATAACATGTTAATAACTTTAGATTCTGCATTGTAAAAAAAAACTCACAAAAGGTTGTCAAAAATTGAGTTCTTTAAGTAATCATGGCTCAAACTCATCAACTACAAATAAATTTTGGTTACCTTTTTTGTTCACAACTGTTTTTGTAGTGTGTGTGTGTGTGTGTGTGTGTGGTAGTACCTAAATACTTTATGTAAAAGATTACAACATAATGTTAGTTAGATTTCTTTTACAGACAATATGGGAGAATAAATAACTTTTATTTTTTTAAAGCATCTCCCACATTAGGAATATATTCCTGTCTCGCGGGGGCTTTACAAAAATACACACCCAGACTCAGGACAACAATTTGGGTATCACACAGTGTTGTTCCATGTAGGGATCGAACCCACATCACTCAGCATAATAGGAAGCAAAAAAAAATATAAAATTTCAAAAAAAAATCAAATTCAAATTGATTCCTAAAATATATAAATAATAAATATATAAGTCAAATATTCTTAAAATAACATTTATTTTATTTCAGAGACACCGTTTAGTCAATGATATTCTGAAAGAAGAGCTACAAACTGGCGTTCATGCTTTATCCATAGTTGCCAAAACTCCTAAGCAATGGGAGGAGAGTGACAAGATTGTGGAAAGTAGTCCAAACTGCAAAGGGGGATTTGGGAAATAAGTTAATGTTGATTAGCTTTAATACCTTTAGTACTATTTAATACTTTACTTTCTCCTGTAGCTCCTAAATATTAAAAATTTTAGATATTATATTATGTTTACTTATTGCTACTGTGAAAACATAAATATCACCCTATGGCCAGAATAAAGGTTTTATAAATGTTTTTTTTTTTCAAATTAAATGGTTAATTTTGGCCAAATGTGCAATAAAACTTACTCGAATAATTCATGTCCTTATAAATATTATAAGTAACTAGTGCGCTTTGCTCTTTTACTTTCAAATGACATACTTTACAAAAAAAAAGTCAAAGTTGACAAATACAGAAAATCCAAACATTGTAAAAATCTCCTTTTTAAGGGGAGGCATGTTATTATGTCAAGCAGTGGACTATTAAAGACTGTTGATGATGATTAAACATTGTATAATAATATTAGGCTTTATTCAAACATCTTATACAAAACGTTTACAAATAGATTTATTAAAACATTATTCTATTTGACACCTGTCTGTGTGCCTTTATGGGCAAAGGCCTCCTCCAACTGTTTCCATTTTCCTCTATCTCTAGCAACTGTTGTCCATCCACCTCCAGCTATGACCTTTATTTCATTCATGATGAAATAAAGATGAAATAAAAACATTGTATACCTACTTATAATTATCAATCAAAATTGTCATTATTAATTAAATAAAAACTAATACGCTGCTTATCGTCTGGTACATGCTGCGTTCTAGTTTATATTTACCAGAAAATACGATACGTTGCTTAAATTTCATGGAGTTAAATTAATTTGTTTGTGAAAGTAGAGCAGAACATATTTACCACTCGCACGGCAATATTAAAGAATGGAGCTAATTATTCTTTTTATGGTAGAAACGAAACAATTCTGTACAAAACCAGCTATGTCAGCGTTGTGGTCGAAATCAGACATCGTAGAGGATCTTCTACCAAAAATAATAAAGTGCGTTGATCAAACAGTCAGTCTTTCAGTTTCTTTTTTTAGGAATTTATGTATATGTCCTTTTTGTAAAAGCAAGTGTTGGACGCCCACGTATTTCGCTCTGGGGTAAATAAAATTCTAATTATCATCTCAGCTGAAAGACATCCAGAGCTGGACATAGGCCACCTCGAAGATTCACCAACATCAACAACAACCGGTCCTGTGCTGCCCGCACCCAACGGCTTCTCATTAAAAAAATTAGAATAGCAAAAATCTTTCTTAAAAACTAGGTATAAAAGCTAGGTATACCGCCAATAAAATCTAAAACTAAGACAAAATTTATATATTATATGAGAAATTTGTAGAGGTGAATTCTAAAACGTTACCTTGAGCTACTCAAGGATACTGAGGGGAAGTTGAACTCAAAGAGGGAAGATAGGAACCTTGACAAATAAAACAAAACATGTTGACATTAAAATTTAATTCCTACACAATAATTTTTTTTCGGGTTTTCATGCAGATCAACATTTTTCATTTTCCATCTCATAATACTTATATTAATACACATCATATAACGCACACGACTAATTATTATGGATTGATAGCCGACATTATAAAAACGTATTTGATAAAACATTGAAGTATAAAAATATTTTGTTTCAATAAAAAAACAACCAAAAAAACTATTATTACATGTACTTTTTAGTGAGATTATAATCAAATATATCTAGCACTAGTAGCCTTCAAAGGCATAATGATATTTTGTTGTTGAATTACGCTTAATTGCATTAATAATTTCCAATAATCCGGGAGTTGACAACTTTTCAAAAATAGTTTTAAACGCATTATATACTTAAAATAATACCCCTAGAGTAATATTTAATGTAATATTTTACCCTTAAACAAAAGTATTTTTAATGTAAATAAAAATAAGTTACAAACACGCGGCATTATGATCACGTGACGACATCATTCGACAGAGGAGTTTATGAAAATTTACTCTAAGTGTAATATGCAGGTACCCACAAAATTTTTAACATTTCTGTTTTAAGAAATTTGTAATGAAGAAAGAACTTGAATAGTTTGCCACAAATTCAAATCACGACTTCGCAAATTATTAATTGTATTTTCGCGCTAACTAACGACATGATAAGCAAGAAAGCAGATTTGTTAATGAGCTTTAAAAATTGTACCTTTACGAAACTTTTTCTGATTGGTGTTGGCAACGACGTGACTCACGGATAAAAAATCCTATTTATCTCAAGGGAAAATGAATTACGAATTATCTTTTCTTCGTTTATATTATTTAAGGCTCTCTAGATCTATTTAATTATTAAATAGTTATTTCACATTTTTAAACATCCTGTCAACTCGCGGATTGCCATACAATGTCCATAAACTCGCGTAGGACTATAATTACACACTGACTCAAATGTAAATCAATTGTTACATTGAATAATAAGTTTTTGTTAAATAAAAAAAAAACACCAAAAAAACTTATTATTGCATGTACTTTTTAGTGAGATTATAATCAAATATTCCTAAATATATCTAGCACTAGAAGCCTTCAAAGGCATAATTTTATTGTTGAACCGCTAAAAAAGTTTTTGATGCAATTTAAGTTTTACAATAACCTAATGTTTAAAATAAATGCACATAATTACTTATATAATGCTGTATCATCATCATCCATCATCACATCAACAGCCTATACTAGTCCACTGCTGGACATAGGCCTCTCCTTAGAAAGGAGGTTTTGGCCTACTATACCACGCTGGCCAGACGGGTTGGTATAGGGTTTGTTTCAAGTTTTCCTTCTCTTTGCAGTGCTGTTGTCCTGCTTATTTTGCTCCCTTAGTCGGCTCTTAAGACACCCACGGGATGAATTGGTGTGGTGACAATTTGTATTCTTAATCCGTCACCACACGGCCATACATAATGCTGTATAATTGCCAATAATTAATAGCAAATCAATATTCTCAATAAAATGATTTTTATTTGTACTCTTCTTAATTATAGACTTAAGACATACTAATATAATACTTTATTTGACGTATTCGTTTTAGGAAATTTTAATATACGTATCTCTCTATTTATGTACATTTAAAGATCGCGCTATTCGAAACTGGATTAATCAACTAATATTTCGTAATTACACTCGTTGATTAATTATTGTAATTCTTACACAACATCAATTAAATAGAAGTTACAGAACAACTGACTAATATATTTTGACCATAGATGAATTCATTTAATTAAAGGAATTGTGACCAGAACGGATTGTTACATTTTCCTGAAGCTTAGGGATAATATCTTACTATAGCTACGAAGCCTGATCTGAAGCCAATTGCATCTGAGTTATAAAACAGTATACTTAAGGCAAACTTAAATTACATATACTTAGGAGATAGTTCTTACGTTTGGTGATATGATTCAAGTCCAAATAGCACTAGCTCACTAACAATCAGATACAAATTCGAGTGAAACGTAATTGGTTCGAGCTGCTTCTTAATTAGTTATCATGTTCAAATCTGTATTTAATTTTGTTTACGGGAACTAAAGCCCTAACTATAGGTATTAAGTAGGTGTCGACCGTGAGTGCAACCTGAAGGCCAATTCTCGTAATAAAAGTTCGGTCACAATTCAGTTCCAATCAACTTTTGATCTCACAACTGTCATTAAAGGTATTTTTAAAGTATAGGTAAAATAGTAAAGTATTACTAAGACTAGCAGATAACAGATTCAATTTTCGGTTACAATACGATATAATCATATTACAGACATCAAAATACCTTGAATGACAGTTGTGTGATGAAAAGTTGATCGGAACTGAATTGTAAGTGAACTTTTATTACGAGAATTGGCCTTCTGGTCGAAACATCAGGCAATTCAAAAGTATGTACTTAATACCTATCGTGAGAGCGTTAAATTCCGTGAACACTTATATAAAATGATAGAACGCGATAGTTTTAAAGTTACTATGTAGACATCTAATTTGGTCATTAAAAAAAATGTTTGACTATTTTCAAAGTGTCTGCAAACAAGAGGCTTGCTATGTGAGGTACGCGTCACATTACACAATACAATACTTCACTCGGTCCATTCATTCTTGCACACCGACTTAACGGTGTTAGTTGTATCAGAGATTAAAGTTGTCCAATCGTAGTTTACCCTCGTTCTCCGTCAAGTACAACAGGTCTGCCATGGTCTGTTCACAGATTGCTTCTTCAGCTTTATCCGACATCTAAAAAAATTTGATTAGATTAAAATATTATCACATCGTAACAAACTACAAATAATTTACATTAATTCTTAAACTTTCACATTTCACAACCTATATTTTATTTTGATACGTTTATTATTATTATACGTTTATTATTATTATACGTTTATTATTATTATACGTAATCTCTGTTAGGCATAATTGCGTTATTCAGAGCTTGTGTAGTGGTATAATTAAAATCGTGTCTTAAAATAATATATCCAAACTTATAATATTTTAAATCTAAATAACTATTTCTTTTTGCTTGATTGAGGAAAAGTTTAAAATTTACATTATTAAAATACTAAGCCACTTGCTTTTAAACCACTCAGGTTTTTATGAGAGCGTAAATTACAACAATCAACAAAAACGTATCAAAATAGAGATTTAGCAATTATATATACCTACGTTTCTCGCGACATGCACACCTACACGTGCGTATACACACACAATACTAAGTTATATTATTTTCAACCAAGTTATGAAATAGTGGTTTCCCTGTTTTCCATTGAATGTTTTTGTAAAGTTTTTAATTAGTGACATATTTATGAGTTATTTGTATATTATATGTATACAGATGAAAGGATTTTGGGTCAAAATTATAATTATTCGTCAATTTTATATCCTTTAAATAAACTTTTTGGTTACTTTTCCATATTTGGTCATATCCATACAAATTCTCTTTTTAACAAATGCCCTACGACATTAAATATATTTGTATAAAATTGCTTATCCATACAATATTAATGTGAAATTGAGTTTGTTGGTATGTTTTATTCTCGGTTTGTTTGTTACGCTTTCACGCCTAAATCACTAAGCTGATTTTAAAAATTCTCTGACCAATGGTCAGCGAGTAACATAGGTTGCTTAAATCGACATACACCACGCGGACGACGCCGCAAGCAAAAGCTAAAAAATTATAAACAGGTGATAAATGTGCATTAGGCTAAAAATAATAACTCACCGGTCTGTAATTGTATTCGCTTGGTGGTGGATACTTAAAATTGGGCCCAAAATTGATGCTAACAGTGACATTCCTGAATAGTGACACTGAGGGGTAGTAGCATCCTTCATAAATGTCGGTGAAGGCTTCGCCCTGGCACTCGCCGTTCTTGAAGAAGAATATCTTACTTCCCGGCAGCTCCTTGAGATTATTCAGAGATGCTTGGATGTTGTCCTTATCCTCATAGTACAGGTGGCTCTTGAATTTTACTAAGGGCTGGAAGTTTTTGAAGTTAATTTACCTTTTCAGACTTCCGTTAAGATTGATCATTGACAGTCAAATTTTGTGTGAGTGCTTACATCTACTACTACTTTATGTAGAAATCCTATGTATGAACTAGCAGCAATGTAACTATAGTTAAACCGCCGTAAGCTTGGCGGGGGTGCATTCAACCAATTAGCTAGCGCGTCGCTGTCCAGTGACTGACGTGAAAGCATTGCTGTACGTGTTACTTTTCTTAAGACTGCTACACACGGTATTATTTTGCAACATGGATAATCTGCCGACTCTGCGTCACAAAAAGATTTAAAAACTTGAAGTTCGGCTTACAGAGGTTCTACTGTTTAAGTTCTAATAAAGAATATTTATTATTTTACTTAATTTTTAAATTGTTACTGAATATAATTTACATGATGAAGATAAGGTGATTTTATTAAAATTATTTTACAGTATTAAATTTTACAATTAATCATAAAAACTTACAATACACTGACATTATAATACATGGAAATAAATTCGATTTTTATTACATCGTGTGTAGATTAAATCTCAAACAAATAAATCTGAACATATCGAGTTAGTACATCGTGTCATGTATAGCCGAGCGCATCACCCGCCCCGCGTCCCGCAAACCATCAGGAGGGCCAAGCTTACGGCGGTTTGACTATAACTGTCTAATTCTAAGTGAGTACTGATGCGTCTTTAAAGTACTAATGCTACTAACTATACTAGCCATCTCTGAAAAAAATTAAAAACTAGTAGAAAATAATGCTAATGGGACGAAATACATAGATTGATCTATGAAAAATAAAGCTAAGCCAGAGGTTCGATTCCAACCCAGTACAAATTATTGCGTGATTAGCACGATCATTTGTTGTGTCTGGGTGTAATTTATCTATAATATGTATGTATTTAGAAATATAAAACTATGTTTATCATGTTATTATTGACAATTTTTTTTTCCTTCGAAAATCCCTTCGGATCTCCAGCTCCTCGGGGACTCAGGAGCCAGGAGTATGTGGTGATTCCACTAAAAACCACCCCGACGACCGGCCTTAGGTTTCCTACTCTGGGGAGGACCCGGACCATGTTATTTCAGGTAATCCCTGAATTGACACCATGCCCAATCAAGCCCTATCCCAGGGGAGAACATTTCCCCCACGTTATTATTGTTGATACCTACCCTATCTTTATACGTATTGGGCGTGTACTTGGTGGTTGTGCTCGTGGGCAACATGACCAAGAAGCCGAGAGTATCGCCCTCGCCGTATCCATCGCTATAATGTTTACCGCGCGACTCGTGGAATCTGAAACATTACCACCATTGTATCAGGTCTATATTTATATTCCTTATTGACAAACAAGCATTGTATATGTCGGCTTGGGGAGTCGTCTTTATTGGTTGTTATGATACCCATGAGAAAGAGATGTATAAGCAACTGTCAGTGGCGCTATTTACGGAACTATTCGTTTAAATAAAAAGATTATTCCTGACTTAAGACTAGAAGCTTGACTTTTATCACTATCAATCTCCGAGCCTTTTTCCAAAATAGGTTGGGTCGGCTTTACGTCTACGACACGGCTAACCTTCGGTTTTACGTGGAGCGACTGCCATTAGATCTCCACGACCCAGTAACGATATCGAAGTTATGTAGGAAGATTGTTATAATTTTTACAGGTCCAACTACCTGTAACGATTATCACAGCTGTTTGGATTGCAACCGAGAACGGCTTAACGTGCTGTCGGAGGAAGGGAGTGCCTCTTGCACGGATTGATTTCCTATCAACGATTTTAGAGGGCGGACTATACACGGTGTAAAAGACGTCGTAACGAATACTGAACTAGTGTATTCATACCAAAATTCTGAGTCGAAAATCATTGGAATTTTCTACCGGCAAATTAAACTTTTTATGCAAACAGCTGTCAAAGGTTAAGGTCATTCCCCGTAGGTATCGCACAAAAGTAATAACTACATGTGTATTCCGTGCAAACAGTCTACGCACACTAACACAAAATGGCGGCCGGGGGGTAGGCCCCGCGCGCTTTAGCTGTTTGATTAATTACATTGCAGTTTTTTGGTATTTATTAAATTGTTTTCGGTAAAATGTTCTGTCTGCTCATTGTGATATCATTTTTAACGAGAAAAATGGAAAATAAAAAATCAGAGGCGTGCGCTCCTTGTAGGCAGAAATGCAGTGCTTTACTTGCTATTCACAGACATTTTAATAAAACGTTCGTACGTTTCAGATGACTTTAATTAATAGTAAATTAATGAAAAAACAAAATATAATAACTTAAAAACGCCTACTATTTAAAAACAGCACCACACAAACATTATCGTTTACCGACAAGCAAGCCGCGCTGCGCCTCACCAACCAACACATGCCGTCGCGTCCCGCAGGACATTTGTTCGCATGTGTGTAGTAATTTTGGTGTCCGTGCACAGTTCGCAAACGCACACACCCATTTATTTTATTACCCCGCCTCCAGCCGCAGGCTACCGAAGTTAGTTCGAGTAATCGGAAATGTTCGTTTAAATAGCAGATATGTTTCGTGTTTCGCGGGGGCCATATTGTTTTTTCATTGTTTACTATTTTGTTTGCGCCAGTATAATTATAGTTTTATTTTTCATTTTAATATTTGAAAGTGTGTACATTTAACAGTTTATTACTGAGTTCCGTTGATTTTTTTTAATGTTATTTGATTGTGACGTATGTGTGGAAAATGTGTGTATAATTTAAATTAAAAATAACAAGTTCTCACAATTGTCATTCAGTGAAAAGATTAAAATTGTGTCTAAAGGTCTGTAACTATCACTCACTTGGATAAGATATTTGAGGTGGCCGAAATCTTGAGTTTATTTACATTGGGATATAGTAATCTCAAGTAACCTTAACCTTGAATATGTGAAAATCAGAAAATTGAAGATGACCAGGTGAGTAGTTATAATATTTTAGCTTATTATTTTACTTATTAGAATTTCTTCCGCCGCGATCTATCGCAGTTTTGTCAGCGTTCCCGTTGAAGATGTACATGAATAGTAGTACATCTAAGACTTGTTCTGTTGGCATGGTTTCCGATTTAGAGATCCGTCGCGTGGCTGTGGCTATGCTAAAAATCTATAAAAGAAGAAGTTTTTGTGACCGACTACTCCGCATACCTAGTGTCATAATCCCGTGCACGCCGCTGAAAAAAATGAATTTTCCAGAAAAAATGAATTCAACTCAGAATCATGGTCTGAATACACTATTTCAGTATTCGGTACGATGTCCCTTACACCTTGTATAATATACAGGGTTACAGTAACCAGAAACCCCTAAAGCATCTATCCTAACATATTTTAAGGAGTTGTGACAGCCATAATTTCTGATAGATTTCACTTTGAAATACTATATCCCAAACCTATCCATTTTCAAGATATTGGACTATACAATTTTTTTAGAACTTATATCCTTTTTTTTTACTGTTGTTGTGTAGTTGATACATTGTTATATAATTTCTATTAGAAAAATTGTAGGTATTTAACAAACTGAACCGAAGTAGATATTTTATAATAGCAAAAAAAACTTTGACGACAAAAAAATATGTATAACAGTAAATTATTTCTTAAAAAAACATGTACTTATTTTCAGCTATCTTATGAGGTATAATAGTCTAGGATAGGATCAGAATTCATAGAAAAAAACTGAGATCAAAGACCGGAAGTATAAGAATTAGCGTACAAACCGATAAAAACTTTTTTACTGTTTTTCTATATTAAAAAAATAAAGGATATAAGTTCTAAGAAAATTCTATTAGGCAAAATTTTGTCAATTTTTGTAATGATCTTACAAGTCCAATATCTTGAAAATGGTCAGGTTTGGAATATGGTATTTCATGATTAAATCTATCAGAAACCTCCCTACCTGCCTCAGCCAGTATCTGAATTCTAAATCTTAATTCATTTAGAGGAGCTCAAATTAACCTTGAAGTATCTCGGTGTGCTTAACAGATCGAGGCAATATTTTCTCCGGCCCACCGCCTTCAGCTCTATAAGGCGCAAGTCCGGCCGCATATGGAATACTGTTCTCATCTCTATGCAGGGGCACCTCAGTATCAGCTTCTCCCTTTGGACCGCATCCAACGGAGAGCGACTCGAACCGCCGATAGCCCAAAGATCTCCGATCGGCTCGATCCCTTGGCGTTACGTAGAGATGTAGACGGCGTGCGGTTTTTGGTCGGTTCGAGTCCGAAATGAGCACCGGTGGGTGGTATCTGAGGGGATTTCCGCACAGAAAAAAAAGAGTACAGCTAGAATTTAATACTTATAAGTACCTGGTTCCTTTCCGACTGCGCCAGGAGTAGCCGAACTTGTCGTATCCGACGGGCGCCTGCAGGTTGGCGTACTGGCGCCCCCAGCCCAGGCGCGTCGCCGTCCCCTCCGGCATCTCCTCGATGCACACCTCGAAGTACCAGTTCCCCATCGACACACCTGCGACATACCATCGACCAAACAATAACACAACACGTAGGCTAGCACACGCTTAACGGATACGTCTTCGTCGCTTTAATAATATTTGATGAGCCTGTTGGTCTAGTGGTTTGTGAGCCTGACTGCTAAGCCAGAGGTCGTGGGTTCAATTCCCAACCAGGACAAATAATTGTGTGATGAACATGATCATTTGTTCTGTGTCTGGGTGTCATTTAGGAAACGAACCCAAAGTCCAGTCGTTCTTGAGTTATAAATGGTTATTAAGATTATTAAAGAAATTGGAATTAATAACGGAATTAAGTCAAAATACTCCAAACTTACCATGCGTAGCCCGCACCATACAGTATCCCTTTTCACCTGTAACAGCCAACCTGTCTTCAGATATTTTGAGCTGAGGTGCTCTGTCGTGCAAGGCTAGCAACACTACGCCGGGACATAGTGACCGATATAACCATCCCGGGATAGGCTTGCCGCTCCACTCGTTGCTTTCATCAAATTCCTGTAGACAATTATATTGTTGGTTTTAAGATACAAAAAATGTGATAAAATTATTGCAAATGTAACAATAAAATCAAAAATCATTGACACTGATTAATAATAATTTAAAATATTACGTAAAACTTTTACTATTTGTGCTAGCCTGAAAGGTTAAGGTTTTTTTTTGGTTCGCTTACTGAGCATTCGGAAACTTCAATAATAAATATAAGATCTACATCTCTGCTCTTCTCTAATTAATTATTTAGATTTCTTAATTCATTTATCAATAAATAATAAAAACTAGAAGTGAAAACTTTTAATTGGCTCTCGGATGATTAATCTGTTTCATTGTAGTAATGTTTATAGCTAAAAGTTTTTTATGTATGAAATAAATAAATAAATATTTTTTGCACGTCCTCGTAATTTCACAAATGGTTTTACAAAAAAACGAGTGTTATTACTACTTTAGATCGCTAGCGTGTGAATAAGAATGTCATTGAAATAAGTATTTTATATAATTGTATAATTTGTATACATAATTACAAGACATGTATGATAATTAATAATTACACCAATACATTAGATTTTGAGACACGTTTATTTACTTCTTATTTCATTATCATCGACATCATCAACACAGCCTTTAACAGTCCACTGCTGGGCATAGGCCTCTCCTTAGAAAGGAGGTTTTATTTCATTAAGTGTATACAGAATTTCTTTTGCATTATGCATGCATTAATAGCCAATAGTTGGCTTGGAGACCCAAGCCAACTATTGGCTATTGTGTATTATTGGCTTCGTTCAGCAGTAAACAGCAATAGGCTGATGATGATGATGATAAACAATATGTATTGCACAACCTAACTAATCAAATAATTGTCCAACCACTTAGTAAACCAATTCTTTAACGTGTGAAAAGAATTTTAAGTAGCAAAATATAGGAATACATAATTGATTTTATTTCTTGATCAACCGACCTGTTCTCAGAAAGGAGGTTTTGGCCTACCATACTCCGCAACCGCGCCAGACGATTTGGGCTTTATGTCAAGTTTTCCTTCTCTGTGTAGTGCTGTTCTCCTGTGTGGTTTGGTCTCGTAGTCTCTTACGACACCCACGGAATAGTGGTGGTGAGTGTCACGTATTCTTAATTCGTTACCACACGAATAGGATTTTATTTCTAGTCCTTATTAACTTAATCTCTACTCATGAATTTCTCGTTAGTGTACGGGTGCCTTAAATCGTCTGTTCAATGAATAAGAGTCGCAAATTTGGACACCGATGTTTAGGGTGATGATAGTAATAAAACAACAACTTAAATTTCAAAGGTCAAGGTCAAGGTTTCAAGGTCTGCCTAGTAAAGTATTCAGTATTCTATACATTGGTCAGGATCATTATTTCTCAAAGATAATTCACTTCATACAAGAAATAAACATTTATATATAACAACAATACCTAATTATAAATGGTAAGTACATTATTTAAACAATTCTCCTTGGGAGTTTCACGGTTATCATGAATTGAAAATTAATATTATTATCACAAAATCTTCTTTTTTTTGTTCACCATCAACAATAAAAATTGGAGCCAAAGAATATTATGGATATTGTTCCAGAACTCAACAAATCTCAGCGAAGAGTTTGTAGTGAACAGTATGAATATAAGAAGCATTTAGAAAGTTTTCTTAGATACTTTACTACAAGTACTAGGTACTTCTACACCAAAACAACAGAAGAATATGTGATCACGTTATACTGGTCTCGACAAATAGTAATAATATACCGAAAATATAGTCACCCTACTGTCTGTAGCGGAAATGTAAGCAATTAATATTCGTAGCGATTCTTATCTAACGATGGTAATTACGGAGTTACATCAATGCCTACGCCACGATGGTACATTAGAGTTATGTCCAGCATGGACCGGTTTATCATGAGGTGATATGAGGGCCTCAAAGAATGGCTCGTCTCAGCGCAAAACAAAACACGACACTAGAACACGTCATTTAGAACTTAATAAACAATTACTTGTATGCATTTGAATATGTATGTGTAACGTTTCTTTGTTATAAAGGGATTTTCACTGAAATCAGAAGTAAACTTAGTTGATCTAACGCATCTAATGTAATCTAAACTATAAAATATTCAGTGTTTTACTAGATAAAGCGATTGGTTTCCATAAACGCATAATTAGGTACAATGCACCTCGCAGCACGACCGAGCGCCAGCGACGGGCGAACAAGGTGCTGACATTTTTTTTTTAATAAATAAATTCATTAAAAAAAATATAAAATCTGACTACGTCATATAAAAGAATAGTGCAAAATCAGGCTTAGAAGCGGCCACAAAGTTGATAATATTTATAAATATATGGATTATTTCCAATTTATTGACATGTTTGTTAGGTCTGTAAAAATATTTTGATTTAATAAGTTTTGATTTTGATTAACTTGATAGTTTGAAATGGTATTTATTGCCAGTACATTGCTATGGATATTATTTTTTACAGCATTAACTGTAATTATTTATTTTATTCATAATCATTTATAACTTCATAAAAGTAATCCACGAATCAATCTGGTAAATACGATTTTTCCTAAATGGAAACTTTTTTTTTATTCACCAGCATGTCTGTCACGTCTCTAATACCTATCAATGTTTGCGCGTTTACGTTTGCTGATAGGTTATTTTTATTTGTCATATAGCTGACATGATTACATTTATTTTACTGTTAAAATTAATTGTAGTCAGCATTTTGTAATTTCCTGTAGATAATAACTAGCATAATTCATTTGAAAATTCAGTTAATTTAATTCTCTCTCTCAATATAATAATCTTAAGTTTTAGTTAAAAATTATTTAACAGAATAATTGAATTAATATTTTTCTTTACAACAAACTATTTCATTAGTGTTCGTTGCAGGCCGAATTTGTATGGGAGGTTTGCACATCTCCTTTAATTATTAATTGAATTGAATATTCATGTAACGTAACGAACCATAACACACCATAATATCAACAATCTCAAGATCAATCATGGGCCGTATTAACCTCAACAAGGCATAATAAGTTACCGACCTGTCTAAATGGTGCGTGGGGATCTGGCTCAGCCAGTATGTATCTGTATCCATCTTTATTGAATGGATGTTCTGTAGGATAGCCATGTGAGGGTAGTTTCAAAGTGCCGACGTCTGCGGTCCTCCCCTTCTTCCCGATAGGAGCACCCGGCTCGGCTGCACCGCTGACAGCAGGTCGGCGTTTGCCTTGCCTTCCCTTAACGTTCCCTGCTAGTGGTACTGTGAAAACATAATATATCCTTATATCGATTATATTTAAAACCATCGACCAACCACCAGCTGATTGAGATCACTCGATTATTGGACCTTGTTTAATCTTATTGGTTCTACCGCCACCCGCAAATTACATTTATTTATAGTGTAATCTTTTTAGAAACCATTTTGTAAGGGGTTTTAGTGTTTTTCATAATTGCTTTATACCACATTATACCACATTCACACAACTACTATTTACTTTATCGGTAGTAAGCAAATATAAGGCATTTCTTAAAATGCAGCAAACTCTAAAGGATAGTTAAGTTATATGAAAGTTTTCTCACGCTAAGAAAAAGCTAACATTATCTATTATTTACATCTTCAATGTAAGTGACTCTTATATGACGGAATGATTCTAACTGGAATAATGAGAAGTATCAGAATCATAGGAACATTATTCATAAAGAGCAATATATACTATATTACGTTACTGCGAATTATGAAAACGTCGTCTACCACGTGTATCAAGTGGGTACATGGAAAACATCAGTCAGAATTAAATACTACCGCTGTCATAGAATCCTAGTATTTTTATGACCACTAGAAAAAAAAACCGTGTCCAGCATCAATCCTCGTCGTGTGTGTGTCATGTCAGCAACAAAAAAATGTGTTTCGTTCCATGATGTATATTTTGGTCCATCATAAGGAAACCTAAAAATCCTGTTACTGTGCAAAATTTTCAAGAACAAGACTTTCACAAATACATCAGGTAGTAAAAACTGTTTCGCGAATCCTAATTTTAGAGACAGCCTTGTGCAAACATTGCATCATGACACGAATCATCAACGTTCAGCCCAATTTTTAAACCAAGTTTAAAAAGAAGGTTCTGAAATTTACTGACTATCTCTTGTGCGTGTGTTGCGAGATATCGTTTCGTAGTGATTTCAATTTAAAAAAAAATATTTTTTTGGTACTCAAAGTTGTGATATCCAATCAAATCGATTATCGATTTAGGTGCATTGAAATCGCCGATACTTTTTTTAAAGTTAATGATACGGCAATACGATCATTAGTCACTACATAAACTCATTTTCGATTGGCTGATTTCATATCCGACGTCCCTGTGTAAAGAATTCATCACTTACTAACAAAACTGCATAACACAAATGCTTTACCACACTAGTAATTATTTTAATTGTAGAATGGACGAGAACACTCTACCATCACAAGTGTGAACAAAACAAGTAATGTAATATTTTACTACATATAGGTATATTGTATTCTTATTTCTATAGACTGATATTTAACTAGGAATATTTAGACGTGTCTACTGAGTGCTAAAAATAACGCTCTTTACACCTCCTACAATTAGGTAAAACGTGTCACAAGTAGCTTGGAATTTAATATCCTTTCAGCGCACAAAGACTTCGATGAATGTGATGCCTAAAAAAAAAAACATTTCTTCTTTTCATTATGAGAATAGAAAAATATGATTGATAGTTTATTTAACTGAACATTCAGAAGATTGTTCTAATCTAAACGACATTAACACGATAATATTAAGTTTTAATACATTTGATGTTTTGTATTCTAAAGGCAACGGCGATCAATACTACCTACTTCACGTTTTAAATATTTATCCGTGCGCATGGCGTTACGTGTCATAAAGAGATTAAAGTTAATTAATGTTGTTATATATACATATATATGGTAATTAACAAAAGTAAAATCTATTAGGTCAACGATAGATCGAATAAGTAACATGTAAATAAATTGGAAATAGTAAATAAAACATTTATCAGAATTGGGCGATTAAAAATTCTTAGCAGTAACCAACTGTACATAATTTTTTGAGCAAGTAATCAACCGGGGTCGAATGTGTACTTACTATATTTTACACGTTTATACAAGAAAGAATGCTAGTAGAAAAGTAATAATTGGTTTCGTCAACTAACGCGCGGTGTAGGTACTTTACATATTTAAGGTGACGTAACTAACTAGTAATATTTTAATTTAAAATAGGTTACATTACATCCAAGTTTTTCTACGAATGAGCTGTTTGGGGTAATAGTGTTTCTCGGGTTTCGTGATAAAGAATAGGTACCTACACAGAGAAACAAGAATTCACGAATATAATGATCAGGAGTCTACCTCCAATACATGTGTCTATTTTATATTCAAACTAAACCTACCTACTTTTATCGGACGTATAATAACGTATGATAATATCTAAATTACCTAATATTTTGAACCACATACAGGAAATGGACATTGAAATAAAAGCGTAAACATAAAAAAACGAGACAACCACGTTGACCAACTAAAACAAAACGAGTTCATTGTGTTAAAGCTCCCCAGAATAAATACACATCGTCTTATATAAGAAAGTCATACTAAGTAGGTACAAGGTAAATATTTTTTTAATTATAAAAAAAAAACTTTTTGAGAGCTAGAGGTATTGGTGAATTAAATAACAGGAGTTATTAATTTATGCTACAGGACAACACGGTTTATGAGACCGTTTAAAAAACGTTAAATCAAGTGGAATCTCAACTCACTATCCATGTCGTCAACACCGATATCAGAACTAACTGACAAACTTGTCATAATTTATATTTAGTGTAAGTAGTGATAAGATAAAATACGTATCGAAACGAACCTACTTGCTGATTAAATCGTTGTCTTAGGTGACGAAGCAATACAACGTGTAAATGCTAGTAGTGCCCGACATAAACAACCAACTAATATACAACTAAAATACTATTCCTGTACTTACTGTAACGAGATAAAACCAAGTCGTCGATACTAAACGCTATAAGTAAACATTTGTTCAAGGCAAATTACGATTCTGATAACAGATAGCCGTGTAAACTAATTATATATGCACATTACAATCTCACGCGGTCTAGCTGTGAATTTAAGAAAAGAAAAAATAACACTAATGAAATGTAACTCACCCGCCATAAAGTTCAAGGTGATTATGAAGTGAACTATTTAAATCTAAAATCAATAGAGAAATCGCGCGGCTAACGCGACGCTCCTATGTGTAGTTATCGGCGAATATACGGACACACTAACGCACAATATAGTGTTTAATATTACAGCAGTGTGCGTCGCGAACTTAGTGTTTACATACACTAATGCATAAAGAACAATGTCATTATTCAATAACATGTCTTTGTGGACGGATCTACAATTCGATGTATGCACCGCTGTTCGAAACATTACGTGTATATTTTTCAGTGTTTTTGGAACGTTTCCAAAGCGACATAACAGAGTAACAATTATGGTGTTGTACCGTACACAGGCGTACAATAGTTTTAAGTTTTATTCGCGTTATTCGGGTCAACTCGGTGGCTTGTTTTTACGTAATCTTCGGTGCTTCTGTACCGGACGATCGTTGGACACGGTTGATTCAATGCATATAAATTTAAAGTGTACATCTGTAAGTAGCAACTTAATAGGTTTATAAGACGTGTATTGTCGCCGTAGGACGTCTAAGGAGAACTTTTATAACGTGTTTGTCATTGAACGGCAATTGTAGAATTTATAGCGTAGCTTCTCTAGACGCGAATTGATTGACCCTGACAAGACTTCGTGCATATTTAATTACCGTCCTGTCGTCCTGAGTCTTCTATTTATCCATTCTAATTGTATACAATCTCTACGTGTACATATTTTACTTAGAAAGGTTACGATACTTTCTCATATCCTTGAATACAATAGGAAGTTTTGGTAACTGTTTGTATTTTAATACATTCTTTTAAGAACCACTATACATAATTTGTCGGCAATGGTTACTATGAGTGGCTTATGTATAAATACTATGTTTATTAAAAAAAAATTGCCAATATATTGTGGCATCGGGAACTCGTTACCGTCGATTAGGTTTTACTGAAAAAAGTCTCAACAATTGAAGTTGTGGTTGCACATTAGAACAACACTTGATGGATGTGACGCACCAGGTGGTTCATCCGTGATCATGGTGCTTGCAACAGTGCAGAAATTTTTAAAAACTAATTCCCGAAAGTAAACATGGTAAATATCCCGTTTATAATAACTTATCGAGTGAAAATTACCTGAATGATGAGGAATGTAGTTTAAATCAATAAATAGAACACAGTTTTACGTTACGCGGTTACTGCTGGTGAGTTCCTTAAGTGGGGGGGTTAATCAATAGGAACGAGGGAATTATAAGAAGTATAACTGTTCGTGTATTAGGTGATCAATAGTGTCCAGTTGGACCGGACCAGATGAATTTAAGCCGCGCTTCGTTTGCAGAGAAGTCTCAAGGTAGGAGATTTATAATACGGTAACGCAGCACTCATGTTTGAAGTCGTTATAGAACCTTCCCATACAGTAACAGAACAGTTCTATAACCTTTCGTTGTGACCCTCGTAGGTCCAGGATCAGAGAATATGATGATGTTATTATATACCTACAGGGTCTGTCGTAAGGTATAACCCGTTAATTTGAGGTAGCCCTGGTGCCAGGCTATAAGAAAACCACATGTTCAAGGTATTTTCTTATAACCTGGCAACAGAGCAACCTTAAATTAACGGGTTACTTACACCATGAGTCAGGGTTGCCAAAACGGTGTCAAAATTGTGACAAGTTTTGCTACTTTGTGTTTCAAAAAATTAAGATGTTTCTCGTTAGTTTTTTTGTATCGTCCTCCTAGAGACTTGTATTGTTTTAAACAATTACTATTGTGGGCGTCATTAATGGGAAACATTAATTGGAAAAGCCAGCCAGCATTGGCAAGGTTAGGATTTCGATTTTTCAAGAAATATGCCAAGGCACGATTTCGGCTTTAGAACTACATGATATTATCTAATTAGGATATCCTAACCAAACTATTAGGAGACAAGAAACAAGGTTATTTTTAATAAATAAAATTTATTGCATAGATCAAACCAAATGCTCAAAATGTTAAGGTTTAAACTTCAAGTAATGAAAAAATAAAATACGAAAAATGCTTGAAATGTAATTTTTTTGTGTTTTACATTAATTGTTATTAAGTTCTCTAAGTTTATTCCGAGAGTCCTGAGTACTGCTGAGTTCTCAGCTCTGAGTTGTATGGGCGCTCATACAATTTAGAGGACTAGCTTAATTGGCACCAACTCAACCATTAAACACACACACACACAAATATCAATTTTATTATGGCGGTATAATGGGTAGGAACCCTCGGCGCACGAGTTCAACTCGCACTTGACCGGTTTTTTTACAGAATACCATCGCCTCCGTTCGGCCGTTCTGAAGTGGTTTAGTATATACTTATCTGCATTTATATCAGTAAAAAGGTCAGGTAAGACTGAGGTATCTTACTTTCTTAACAAGTTGTTGTGTAAATAATTATTCTGTTATATACCTATAAAAGTATTTGCAAATAGGTGGTGTATTCAACTATCCACTTACTTGTAGCAATACCCATATCGGTGACCTTCAGTTGACCCTGCTTGATCATAGCTTCGTAGTTGGGCTTAATGCCCGTAAGCTCCATATTGTACAACCCAAACATTGGACCTTGGTTGGCGTCTTCCTCATAAATGAACAACACTTGAATGTCCTTTATTAGGGCCCGCTGTACTGTTGCATACCAGGATTGTGTTACTCTATAGCAAAATAAAGTATAATAGGTATGTGAAAAGTCGTTTACTTAATGGTTTTGAGCACAAAAGACGTTAAATTATTTTATTATATAACTTTATTTTTTTGTTTTGTTTTTGTAAGAATATTGTCAAGGCTTTGTGGTATAGCGGTAACCACAATTTCGTCAATGTCATATGTATATTTGAAAGAAAAAAAGTTGTTACAAAATAGATTTATGTCCATAACTAGCTGGTACCCGCGACGTTCGCATTTAAAAGCGCTGCTTTGTACGCGACTGCAGTCTATGAGGCTTTGGGTTCGATTCCCAGACCACGCAAACTTTTATAGGGTTTTTCTGAGAGGAAAAGTAGCCTAAGTTACTCCTTATTCACTAAATACTCCAGCTACTTGGTAATCTGTACCAAAAGAAATTTAAACTGGTTTTTAGACGTAGGTATCGTGCAAATTATCGTGTAAGCATGAAAAAAAACCTGTTATTTTGACATTACAAACATACACTTCAATTTTATTTATTTGTATAGATATTCTACTGTTTCCATTGTACAAATATTATATTCTTTTTTTAGTAACTTATTTGCTTAATAATTACTTTAATGGTTGTATACATTGTTCAATATTTAGCGTCAAAAACATTTATTTATTTTGGTCCTTCACAGCTGACAGTAAGACGTAAATATTACCCCATTACAAAGTAATAATAAAAATTCATAAAAAAATTAACTATAGTGTAACATTAGCCATACCTACATAAACTTAATTATTAGAGAGATTAACTTAGATCTTGAAAACTAATTACCTACTATTTATACTTATGGTATGGAGACGGATTAATAATACGGAGTGTCACCACCCCTATTCATCTCATGGGTGTCGTAAGAGCCGACTAAGGCAACAAACTACGCAGAATATCAGTACTGCAAAGAGAAGGAAAACTTGAAACAAACCCTATACCAAACCGTCTGGCCAGCGTGGTGTAGTAGGCCAAAACCTCCTTTCTAAGAAGAGGCCTAGACCAGCAGTGGACAGATTAAGGCTGTTGCTAATTTATACTTAACATTTGACTACAAAAGAAGTTTTATAGTAATATTATTACCTTTATATAATTTCTTAATGTTATATATTTTATAGCTTTTCTTAATTTTTGACAGTTGAGACTTAAATGTAACCAGTACTCTCTGAATAAAGTCTCTTTAGTTTTATCACCATATAGTTTGGATTTAAAGTGTTCATACTTTTTAAAGAATAATTTTCACTTTTTTATAAATGAACAATTTTTTATTAGAGTTAAAGTTACACATAAAAATTACTGTAATACTGTTAAAATGTTTATGGACTTTTTTATTTTTTTAAATCTAAATATAAATAGATAATTTCAAATTATGATTTTCAGAATTTATTTTTTAATTCAAGTAGTTTCTTCATATACAATTTCAAACTGTTTACTTTTAATGAAGATGCTTTATCAGATATAATTCCTGTTCATGGATTGATTTCACAAAGGTGCCTTTTATATTTAGTTTGATTCCAACATACTTCTTTACCTCTACGTAACTCATGCAAGTTTCTAAATGATATGGATTGGAAATGAAATAATATGGAATTCTCAGTCCTGATATGTCATAAGTTCTGAAGGACTGCAGTACGTTACATAGATTTCGCATAAATATCGCTGTGCGGACGGGCCCTAAGATTGTAGCCTCAACTATACTCATACTTGTTCTAGACCTGATTCATAGTTCTCGTTAAACTGAGCCTATTCAGCATGTTTCAGCTTGTTACATTTCACCAGAATGTTTAATGTCACTTTTCAAGACTTGAGGTTCGATGCATTTCTTAATGTTTTACTTTTCAATGCGATTAAATTATTAACATAATTGAGAAAAGATTGAAACATGGTTTTAAATTACCATTAAAAATATTCATTATTATACAATGATGAAAGAAGGGTCTATAATTATTCATATAAACATCCACTATACATATTATTAAAAGAGAGTTATCTTGAAACCAACTGATTTTATTTATTGGCTGTAGAATTAAAGAGCAGAGAGATTGCAGATCAGAGAGCAGAAAGAAGAAGTATAAATAAAATAATTAAAAACAACATAAACAATTCAATTCTAGAACACAACCACAGCTTAAGTATTATTTGTGAAATGAGCCAGTAACATGAGTTAAAGCTACGTTTTGTTTCACATACTACAACACATATATTTTATTAAGGAGGTTTATAACACCGGGAGAGTCATGCTTCGGCACAAATGGGCCTGAAGGCCAATTCTGTTAATAAAAGTTCGGTCTCAATTCAATACTGATCATCTTTCGATCTCACAACTGTCATAAAAAGTATTCTCGTTTTTAAGTATTAAACACCTAACGTTGACTGTAATTTGATTATATCGCATTGTAACAGTAAATTAAATCGGTATTCTGCTAATCTCAGTAATACTTTCATATTTTACTACGAAAATACCCTAAATGACAGTTGTGAGATCGAAAGTTGATCGTAACTGAATTCTGACCCAACTTTTATTACGAGAATTGACCTTCTGCTCAACCACTACAGCAAACAGCCTCACAGAAAACCAGTGTTAAGTAATTCTTTCATTGCTTTTCACCAAATGACTGAGGTTACCGAAGCTCAAAACCGTCTTCCCCCATTTCTAGGGGAGCAGAGATTTAAATGCACTAGTACTTTTAAGTTTATTTTACTAGTTTAAGTTAAAAGTTTAGAATAAGAATGAATTTTTTTGGCTCTACCACAGCTCTACATAAAATCCTTTGACAGTTTGTCTTTCAAATACATGACATTGGCGAAATTGTGGTTACACTCTACCACAAAGCACTTAACCAAAAGTTAAAGTTGAACTTTTAAGTTGTAGTTGTCCATGGGCGGCGGTAGTCGCTTACCATCAGGTCAAAAATGCATTTTTTTAATTGTTTACATAGTTTGGCGGGATAGATTAGTTTTGATCCAAAACAAATCCTAATTAATATGGAAAAGTGAGTTTGTTATAATAACAGTATGGTAATGGTAACTACTGAACCTGTCACTGACAAAAGTACTATTCTGGAGGAATAGAAAAATAACTTTTACATGTATAAATCTTTAGTCTAAACCTTATTAGTTTTACTAGAAAAATATGATAGTAGATCATCAATCTATACAAACAAATAAAATTAAAGTATCTGTTTGTAATGTCAAAATAATAGGTTTTTTTATGCTTACACAGTATTTGCTTGATACCTATGACTAAAAACCAGTTTAAATATTTTTTGTCTGTCTCTCTGCCTGTTTGTGCAGTCAGTCAGTCACATACTACCCCACTAAGGCAGCACTTTTCAAATTCCACACAAACCAAGACAGGGGTACAAGCTAGTTATAAAAATATGATGATAATGTATTTTTGATGATTTACAAAATCATCAAAAATACATTATACATATTCTATGACATGAATCAAGTTGCTTATGATCTTTTAATATCAAATTGTTATTAATATCTATATGCGTATGTATGTAATTATATACTTTTGTACTGTATTTATGTATGTACTTATGAATAATATGTATAGGTGCAGTATATGACTGCACGGATGGCCTAGTGGTTTAAGCAGTCGCCACGCCGCTCCCTACTACGCTGAGTGTTGTGGGTTAGATCCAGGACGACACTTTGTATGATCCACAATTTGTCATTCTGGGTCTGGGTGTTCTTTGTGAAAAAAAAAACAAATCACCTACATCCTGTTTTCACTGCATCACCCAATTGTTGATTGGTAAAGAATGCCTTAGACTAAAGTCTGCACTTGCACCTAATGTGCATGATGTGTAAATAAATAAACAAATTATATACCTTCTGGGCATGGTAGTCATAGCTTCCCAATATTGATCAATGTAAGGTATGATCTCCCGATCTTTGCTGAATAGATGTCTATTGCTGCCTACCTTTACACTATCCTGCTTGAGATTTGCTATAGCCGTCAGGCACATTTGAGGGAATGCTGCAAGAAAATAATTCAAACATAAAATGAGAATAGTATGAGTAATTATTGTACAGAAAATATTGTTAACATCTGTACAAAAATGCTTAGAATTCAATGTAAATTACTGTATTTTACTGGAATTGAAATATAACTGAGAGTTATTATGTAAATGAACAGAGATTTGTTAACTTACGCGCCTGGTTCTTCTTGAAAGTTTCAAGTCCAGTTGGTGAGCAGTTCTTGCATATAAACAGATAATTTGTCATAAAAGGGACCAATTTTCCCAATTGATATCCAATACATGATTCGTGAAACCATCGATTGCATGATGCACATAATAACTCTGCTATATTCAGATTACGATCTTTCCCGCTAAAAAGAACAAACAGGTCAGTAATGTTATTGAACCTCTTTCAAAACAATATTAAAAAGAGACAGGTTTACACAAACCAGTAACATGTTCCCTGAGATTCACTGGAGGTTTTATTCGATTTATTTTTGTCTACATTTTCAGTTGATTTGTGAGATTCACCTAAATTCATGTTTTGACCATTGTTAGGAGGCTGATCCTCCCCAGATTTTTTTAAGGAATCTATGGCTCCCGACGACATTTTGTTTAATGAGTGGTTTTAAGATAAAATATATATGAATACACTCATAACATGAAGCAATTTGTGACCGGGATAAATTCAAAATGAGGCAAATACAAATATGTAATACAACAGCAAAGTAGTTTTCGAAATAATAAATAGAATGCCGACTTTGATGCTACATCTAACTTTGGCTACTTTAACTTTATTATGTAGTGTTTACTCTTTCTTTTCATTTACGCATGAATGAGAGAAACACACACAGTACGTTTATTTTCATGCCATATGACTTTGTTAAATTCGTTCAAAAATTTTGTATATTTTTACACTTTAGTACAAAACCTACTACAATAGAAATAGTTCATGTAGATTGATATATTCATCATTATGTATTTAAAAAATGATAATATAGTGAATAAAGCTCAACAAAGGTCAATTTTTATTAATACAAATCTGTTTGAATTCACATTTCAGTACTGGCAACACTGAAACTCACTAGATGCCGGTAGCCGAACGAAACCAAAACATTTACCATTCAAAATATAGGAACGGTTGCTTTGGTTGCGAAGTTGTTATTGATGAGTAATATTAGTTATTATCTTTAAATCGTTAAATTATCATTAGAAACAATGGATTCAGTTACGAGTACTGATGGTGTAACTTTAGATATTAATATGAGACAGGAAAATGTTTTAATGGAGATTATCAAAGAAGTATGCTGGGAGAATAAACTATCTCAAAAGTTGAAGGGCAAAGTTAACAAAATAATAGCCGATTGTGATCTCAAACATTATTCTAGTCTACACAAGTTAAGTGCTAGCGATGAAAGTACTGCTACAGTACTGGGTATGTATCATTTGATCTATTTACAAAACAAATGTGACGACAATATACGTAAATGAAATTTAAATATTTAATAAGAATCAAATTAAGGTAATATCTGTGTAAAGAATACAGAGTGTCGTCACTCCTATTCATCCCGTAGGTGCCGTAAGAGCCGACTAAGGGAGCAAACTATACAGGATAACAGCACTGCAAAGAGAACAGAAACTTGACACAAACACTATACTAACTCGTATGACGAGCGTGGTATAGTAGGCCAAAACCTCCTTTCTAAGGAGAGGCCTATGTCCAGCAGTGGACTAAGTTTTTAAGGCTGATGTGATGTGCAATTTAGGTAAACTTATTGAATCCAGACCAAACCCCTCTGTTTTGAGCAGATTATAGTAAAAATATATATAATAATAAAACTAAGCCTATTCAGGTTGTTATATTTCACCAGAATGCTAAATGTTACTTTTGTTAACTTGAGGTTCAATGCGGTTCTTAATGTTTTACTTTTCACTGCAATAAAATTATTAACATGATTGAGAAAAGATTTAAACATGTCTTGTAACCATTAAAAATATTATTAGTACAATGATGAAAGAGAGGTCCATCATTATTCATATTATTATAAACATCCACTATACATTTATTATCAGGAAGGTTTATAACACCGCGAGAGAGTCATGCTTCAACACAAAGGGGCCTGCTCAAACATAGTGATACCACAGCCTCGTTGGGTGCCTCACAACCAGTGTTAAGTAATTCATTCATTGCTTTTCACCATAGTGTCAACGAAACTGTGTTTCACTAGATGCTGTCTCTCTAGATCCTCTCACTAGATGCTGCTCTTTTCTTTTCCAACGTTTAACAAACTGTTAAGTTGGCATTGAGGCTAGCCCACTTCAACATAGTAATTCTTAAAAGATGTTGCTTACCAGTGCTGTTGGCTACCTTGCTTCTATGTCAGACCACTACCGTATTATATTTATTACCACTTACTCAAACTAGGTAAATAAAGAGAGTTTTTAAACAAGTTTTGAAATTCAAACAATTAATGGTTGAAGTTTTTTCGAATGTCTAAGTACAACAGTGTCATGGTTAAGATTATCTAATATAGAAATATCTTATGTCTTGGTGTTTGTGGTTGCACTCCTCTTAAACAGATTGACCTTTTTTTTGTATATTTGGTAGGTATGAGAATAGGTTGTAAAGTATTTTTCACCCACACCTACCTCCACACCATTTCTTTGATAATTTATATGGCAGGGTCAGTAAAAGATATAAATTATGTGGTGTGAACAATTGTACTAGTTGACACACTCATACATTTTCTGTTCTCTTCAGGATTTATGCATCAAACAGCATCAGAACTAACTTTTGATGAGCAAGCAGAATTCAATCAAGCTGTAATACAAAAAATTCAAACAAAACTACCACCGTTTATATCAGAGTTAGAAAACCTGAAACAATCAACTGCTACCGGCAAGAAAAGCAACAAAACTCAGATTAAAGAACTTCAAGAAAGTCTAGATGAAAAAATGAACACTTTAGAAGAACAGGAAAGTGAGAAGGTTGAGCTGATGATGGAGTGGCTCAATCATCGCCTTCATGATGTCACACAGTTTGGAAATAATTCAAGTGAATTTTTGACTCTGAAAACAAGAATTCTGGATCTAAAATCTAAGTAAGTATTAGTAGAGGACCTTGGTAACTTTGTTAATGCCTATTTGTTATATATAAGCTTATTTACTAATAATCTCAAGAACATGATAGTGCACCTTAAGGAAAACCTCCTGGAGGACTACAAGAGATAGCACTACAAGAGAAGTAAAACTTAAAACAAACCCTATACCAACCCATCTGGCCAGTGTGGGTGGAAGGCCAAAACCTCTCTTTCTAAGCAGAGGTCGACATGGTATTTTCTGCAATCCTTTTTTAAATAATAAAAATCTGTTGTTGCAATGACTTGTGTGCATTCATCTATGATTTTATTTAAGTTTAAAAAAGGTTATGATCATTTAAAATTTTATGTAATTCGATATTGTAAATGCAAACATGAATTTATTTGTAAACTAGCGATCCGCCCCGTCCGGGTGTAATGTAGATTAAATACTGCTAATACTACTATTGTGATAGGACTACAGGACATCTTTATATTATTATGCAATAATTATAGGTCCGCTCTGATCCTACTGTCCATTTTGCCCCTGCATTTTAATCCTGTTTGTCTTATAAAATATTCATTTTAATAATATGCTATAAAGAGCAATTTTAATCTACATTAAAAGGTATTATAGGTATCTAACCTATTTTATTGGATAAGGAATAAAAAAGTATTTTTTTAAATAGCTTCACCTAACCAAATAATATCTATATAGCCAACCTAAAGAAGTGCTAAAAAGTAAACAATATATATTATATAATTATTTCCAGCTTAAAAATAAGAACAATTAAGCTATTAGATAAAAAAATAACTAGAAGTCTCATTACTATTTTATTAACATAGCTGCTAAAAATGTGTAATCCACTTAAAAGCCCAGAATTTAAATGAATACATTTCTATTAAAAATTGATTGAAACTAATGTCTCAGATTAGGTTAAAGAAAGTAAATACCTTAATTTCAAATTTATTGACTTCCTGTTAACTTTATTTTTTAATATTAAGTTCTCATAGTAACAATATAAATTTTAACTTTTCAGAATCCTGCACCTTCAAATCCTGCAGAACATCTTCTCAGAAACTAACCAATCCATTCTGGCATATGGTGAGGTTCACAAGGACCTAAAGGACTCAATCAAAGAGACGGAACAAAGAATTAAAAATTATAGAGAAATAATACATAATGATATTTAGTAGCCATCAAAATAGAAGATCTAGAATCTTACCATAAACTAAAGATTTTAGGGGGAGCAAGTGTTGTTCCTAGGCCTTAAACTGAAAAGAGGCATAATTCTTTTTTTGAAGTCTGCCCTTGTTAATGTGGTGAATGTTTTTCCAAACATAATTATTGTGTCAAAATTATATTATACAAGCTGTACCCCGCCATGCTTCACTGTGCCACATTGTGGTTTAATTGATGAGAAATGAGTAACAATTTTTTTTTTTATTTAAAGTATATGATAAAAAAGTAAGGTAAGGTAAGGTACAAAATTTCATAGATGTCTATTAAATTAAATTTTAAATCCTAAAGATTTATATAATGTCTCATTGCCAAAAAGAGGAAAAACATTTATTATTTTGTGATACTGTCTCCCTCTCTCTTTGTGGATATTATGTTTTCGGTTCGGCGTTTTCATACTTTATGTAATTCATGTATGTAAATATTTTAAGAAGGTAAGGGGAGAGGGGTAGGTCCCTTTACTCTTTCTCTCTTTATCAAGATAGAGATAAAGATTTGTCGCCTACTCATTATAATACCTGGTATTATAATTTAGTAATGCCCTTTACTAGTTATGAAACTTATAAATGTAATTTATATTATGTCAATTATGTGTAATTAGCAGGTTTCGGCCTTAGCAGGTTGTGTGTGTTTTAAGGACTGGTATACACAGGAAGAAATGTTTTTGATGAAATACTTTTGAAGATGACAGAGGGTATTGTTTTATTTGTTAATCGTTTGGTCCCTGCTTTTTCACACACGGGCTGATTCCTTGTTCATTCTACGTACAGATAGAAAAGTCTAATAAATTTTATTTATTTAATAAGGTTATTTTATTTTGTTTCTTGTTATTTTTTATTGTCTAAGAATTAATACGTCCAAGTCCAAACAAAAGGTTCAACAACAACCTAGGTTGACCAAATCCCCCTACTCCAAACTCATTCATAATTTGTTTGCGTACTTCATATTCGGGATATAAAATCGATGAAAAAGACGATAATAATAAATATAAATTATGGACTATTGAGGATACAAGCACCGAGTATATCGAATAATAGGTAGAAGTAAGAAGTACCGACACTCTGTGTATGAAAAGTGTCCGTCAAAATGCGTTCAATTGGCGCAGTAGAATCAGTATAATTTTTTAAAGAAAAATGAGTTTTATAGACAAAAAATGTGTAATTATTTTCGTAATTGTTGCGCACATTTTTGTTTTGTTACACTTACTTATAGTTTTTTAGTTATTTCACAAAATTAATTTCTGCTGGGTTAACGTTACCGCAGCCAGACATTTTCTTTTTTAATTGGAATAGAATAAATATTAGCTATATTAAAAAAAAGACTAGTTAGGTATATTAATAATAGATATATAATTTTTACATCATATGATTTTATTCCATTTGTAAGTCCTGTGACAACAACGTCGTAAAACCCCCTTAGAAACGCAGTACTTTTTGCAGGTACCCCGATAATATAATAGATGTCGCCAGTGTCTCCAAATTTGGTAATTCCACTACATTTCAAGTTAGTGAAGCATATTGGACAGAATTCGCCTCTAATAATAGTAAGTTTTTCAAATTTCTTCTGCTATAATTCGTTGTGTCGCTATTTTTATTTACACTGTAAATGCGTTGGATATGAGATAAATATGTCTAGGTACCAATTGCAGCTCTAGCATAATTGTCTGTTACAACATATTAAAGTAGGTATGTTTAATAATAGGGGTTAAAGTATGAAATTGAAGTTGTATAATAGTAATAGATAATAGTAGTAATAGATACTTTGAATAGATTTAAAACCTTCATGGTGTGAGATTTTCCTGTGAAACATAATACCTACGAGGTTCTTCTATAAAAAAAAGTGCAGCGTTCGATTTTCAACTCAATTTTTGTAGAAACGCCTCGCAATATCAACGCTGAGTTTGGAGAGGAGACTGCTAATGAACGCACCGTGCGTTTTTGATTTAAACGCTTTCGTAATGGAAACTTCGATTTGAGGAACGAACCACGACGAAGACCACCCACATACATTATTAACGCTGAATTGAAGGAGATAGTGGAAGCCGATATGAATCAAACTACCCAGGAATAAGCGGCATGGTTTAACCGCTACCTACAATATTAACTAATAATAATAAATAATAAAATAGCTTTATTTATTCCACATAAAATAAATTACAATTATGGGTTGCTAATTATTAGTTGGTAAAATTGAATTATTTCATAATAAGATAATTGAAGTAGTAATAATTATTTAATCATGCGCGTTTAATTTGTGGACCCCCTCAGGGTAAAAGCCTCCTCCAAAGAATTCCACTCTTTTCTGTTTTTGGCGGTGGTCATCCAGTCTCTTCCTGCGTAGGCCACAATCTCGTCCTGCCACCGGGCGCACGGGCGACCTCTCTTTCTAACGCCAAACAGTCCGTTCCATTTCGTGATGTTGATTGTCCATCGACTGTCATCATATCTCGCCACATGACCGGCCCACCTCCATTTTAGACTTTGAGAGCAGTGTAGAGCATCCTTTATCTTGGTAACCTTCCGAATTTCTGTGTTTCTTACTCTATCTCTCAGTTTTATATTTAAACAGCTCCTTTCCATTGCCCTCTGAGTGGTCAGTATTTTATGTCCCGCCTTGTGATCATAGATCCACGTTTGGCAACCATATGTAAGACAGGGTAAAATAAAAATATATTAACTAATATGCATCAAATCAAAATTTTCTACGTGATAAAAAAAGTTTCTTCATAGGAGGCAGTACAAAGTGCTTTCACACAGTTTGTCGAATCTAAATCCCCAGAGTTCTATCGTAAAGGCATAAATGAAACCGTCTAAACTTCCGTTTAGATGGCAGCCATGTTTAAATAATGAGGGTAAATATTTTGATACATTTTGTTACATCTTGGAAAAAACGAGTTTCAATTTTTCAGTACAAATCGGTAATATAATACCCCTAATATAAAGTCTCTTAGAACACATTATTTTCATAGATATTATTATATATTCTGTTTACTTAATTTAGCATGGTTTATTGTTGTCAATTATTTGTAGGAGTAAGTAACTGAACATTATTTTTTTGATAAAGTAATCACGCATACAGTGCCTAAATTCTAAATTTTATTATTTTCGAATTAAATGTGATCGTTATATTTATATTATTTAGGCTATTGGAGTCGAGGTTCATATATGGGTAATATTTCCAGAGGTGAGAGCCAGCATGTCATTGACTCAATGATAGAAGGAAGGAACGAAATGAGCTGTCTAGGAGAATTTTTAGCTTTGTGCGCAGGAAATACAAGAGAATTATAGAATATGCTTGATCAGAGAAGCGCAAGGCAAGTCAAAAAAAAACAAAAAATGTTTAATGTTAAAGATTTAGATCTCAATTAAACAGTGTTGTGCAAAAATGATCCATTGTTTAACCTGGTCACGATTGAAATCTTCATTCTAAGAATCTTTCTAGAATAAGAAAGAAATCCATTTTTCATAATAACTACATCAATGAGGTTTTTTATCAATATTAATACTGATATTTTTGTCCGTGTGGTGACGGATTTAGAATACGGAATGTCACAACCCCTATTCATGTCCACCCCGTGGGTGTCGTAAGAGCCGACTAAGGGAACAAACTACGCAGGACAACAGCACTGCAAATAGAAGGAAAACTTGAAACAAACCCTATACCAACCCGTTTGGCTAGCGTGGTATAGTAGGCCAAACTCTAAAGAGAGGCCTATGTCCAGCTATGGACTGTTATTGGCTTTTGATGAATACTGATATTTTTGAACAGTTATTAGTTTCTCCGCAACACGATTTAATTTTAAACTTGTCTTTAAGGCATCTAAACCTGTTCCAAATAGGGTTTTCATTATCACTACCCCATTCCTAACCTTCATGCATGCAAGATAGTAATTTTGACAAATTTTTATTTCTGAGTATAAAATAGGTAAATGAGGTATTCAAATACCTATGTAAAAGACAGAGTTACTAAAGAAATTAACAAAATTTAAGCTTAACTGGTTCCTAGTGAAATTTATTAAATATCTAAATATTTTGAGCAATTACATTTTTGCACTTTTTACAATGCTACTCCTTAAATTGTAGAAGACCTGTATGAACCATTATGATCAGACTAAGGAAACTAATTAATGCTGTATTCGTATGAAATAAGTAATAAAACTTACTTCTGAATCGTCTCGCATATTGACCTATTTTTGAAGGTGCTGGGCTAAATAATTTGTTTCAAACCGTGTAAATTCTTAGTTTATAACTATCATGAGAGAGAGGGCGCTAGTTGCCATGTTAACATCGACTCCTAGTTAAAAAAATATATTAAAATACTAGCTAACGTGATCTAATGCGTAAATATTATAAATCCGTGACTTAGCTCAATGGGCTTGTCCATTGTTAGGTAGAGAGTGGGAATCGTACCATAATAGGCGAATGAGGGCTATTTATACGCCTCCGCTTGCTCGTTTGTGGATATAGCCGTGAATGTACAAATATTTTAACAACATAAATAATTACAGATACCTACAGGCAATATTAAGCCACAAGGAAAATAGTGTTATTTATTATATCGTAAGTCCAGTGTGCAATACGATAGGATGCAGAGACCCGAGTCGGTGCGGTAAGCATTAAGTTATATTAAATATTTATTTGCTTTAATTTTTAATTTGCATAACCAGTAAGTTGGCATTATGATAAGCAGCAGATTAAATATCGACGTGTCCGTCTGGATTGAGGTCTTGAGGAGCCTTTTCAGATTTTAAACGGAAACTAACCCCTTATTTAGAGTAGGTGAGCAAATAATTTTGTTGGACAAATTTGTAGTAAGAATATCCAAAGTTACATCAATGTAAAAGTGTTTATGTTTCCTCACCTTTATCTTCATATAACCAACATTTTTATATACATATATTATAGAAAAGTATTTATTTTTGTGAATTACATAGTAACTATATTATAATTAATAA